GGGGAGAGAAAGGGGCCCCTGGGGATCAGGACCCTTCTAACTCTCTTTTGCAGAGAGGAATATGTAGCCCTGTATAAAGTTTATGTTGGTTTCTGTTGGTGTTGGATGGGGAACTGGCCCTCTCCTACTCCTTCCTATACCCCACATCCGGGCTTCTTCCCTGTACCCTTACAAGAGAGAACCCCACACACACGGGAATCCACAACCCAGCTTCCTCAATACCTGGATCCGTGCAAGTACACCATATGTAAAGTATCTATCTATGATTTAAGCGATTTAGATTGCTAAGCGTTTGCTTACAAACCATGGAAAACTATTGTTGCTGCAATTTTGTTATTGCTTTTCACAATTTTAAAGAGCAAATTTATCATTAATAATGAACCAATCTAATTTTGATTTTCTATCTGAACCAATCTAATTTTGATTTTCTATCTGAACCAATCTAATTTTGATTTTCTATCTGAACCAATTGATATACAGTTTTCTTTTTGAACCAATCTTTCCGAACCAATCATCTATTATGAACCAATCATCTTTCGGCCTCTATTCTAAATAAATCATCGTTCGGCCTCTATTCTGAACCAATCATTTTCCGGCCTCTATTATGACCCAATCATCTTTCGGCCTCTATTCTAAACAAATCACTATTATGAACCAATCATCTTTCGGCCTCTATTATGAACCAATCATCGTTCAGCCTCTATTCTGAACAAATCATTGTCCAGCCTCTATTATGAATCAATCATCTTTCGGCCTCTATTATGAATCAATCATCTTTCGGCCTCTATTATGAACCAATCATCTTTCGGCCTCTATTCTGTATCAATCATATTTCGGTAAGTATTCTGAACCATCACCGTTTCGCTTCTGTTCTTAACCAATCAATGTTTGCCCTTCTTTCTCGCGGCATGTTATGTATACGTCTATGTATATTAAATTAAGGTCTATACATGTATATGACAGTACTAATTAATTACATCCCAGGTCAATAATGTATTTTTAATTAACTTTAATTAAATATGATCAAAGCACACCTGAAAACGATGTTAGTAAGTGACAGAGAACGGTATATATAATTTGCAAAAGTTCAAAGAATGTTCAATACATTTTTTATTTGCCTTAATTAGTCTATTAAACACTATGAAGGTCGGTCGCTATAGCCTTATCTGGTTAGAAATACCTTATCCGATTGTATATACATGTATATAGTATGTATTACAGTTTCCTATATACTATAAAACAGGAAATTCTCGCGAGTGAAAATGTTCGCGTTGTGGCCCTTTCAACTGATCGCGGTGTGGAAAGTTTCGCGTTGGCAAAAATTCTGAAATCTATACATGATACGTATCTATAATCTATAAATAAATATTTGCGTGTAGACATTTTTGCGCTAATCAACATGTACTAAACGCGAATATTTCCGCACTGCAAAAATATCCACTTTCTCTATATCATATTCCCTTGCATTATTAAATATATTTTGACGGGATTTTGTAATGCATTAAAACAATTGGCTAGCGAAGATGTGGTCTCATATACTTTTAGTTATTTCTGTGTTTTTTTTCATTATCCCATTCCTAATTTATAGAACAAGCAAAACATAATAACAATGCATAACAAATTATCTTGATGTCTACTCCCATATTTCTCTTACCCTGAATAGGTGTATCAAATCTTTTCAAAGTCATAACAATGGTATGACGTCACGTCAACAAAGCAGTGACGTCACGTCAATCACGCATCGACCTCAAATTAGCAATGTATTTACCCCGTAGCCTCAACATAACATTTCGTAATATGGTCATCTGAGAAAGAGAAAAGAAATGGAAATATAAAACGAATTATATTTAGAGTCGATGGATAAATATAATAACGGAAGGTTTGTAGATCTCTTTTGACGGACAAAAACAGAAACCTTCATTCCCTCGTGTGAAAGATCGGGATTGGGATGGGGGATCGCAACCCTAGGGGAAAATTCTCAAGTTGTCATACATAAGGCAAGCCTATAGTGTTTGGCAACTATAGAATCCCCCCTCCAACACGTACACCACGGGCTGTCCAAATCCTCATATCTTATCCCCAATGGGGTCCCATCGTGTAAGCCTGGATCTAGATAGTTATTACACGGATTGATTCCAGATTGATATACCTTACTTAGCCTGTTCACTGTAATCCTCTATATATACGTACAGGTATATATATACACTACCTGTGTATGACGTAGTCAGCAAGGTGCAAATGTGACACCTGTGGTATGTCTCTGTCCTTTACGTTTGAATGTGAAGCTACATGTCGAACATGTTTCGATATAGACTCAATAAGAATTATATATGCTTTGGCTGATTTCGATTAGACCACGATGATAACGGTCCACGTTTTAAAAAGTACAAGATAAATATAGTCTACAACATATATAGCACGTGCTTCAGACACTACGCACGCAAGGTGTATATTTCATTACGAACGTTGGTTTTATATATTTGTGTATCGTTATTCGCTAGTGTATTATAGGCTGGCTTTAGAAGTAGACGTTGTCAATGAGTGTTTTTTCTTTGTGCACGTTTGTGTATTAACAATATTAGTTCCAATTTAAAAACAAAATCTGTTTCTAAAAGACGTTCGAACTTAAAAGTGGGATTCTCCAATAAAAACAGATAAGAATAATATCTGAATCTGAAACAAACACATTAATCGTTTGTCGAAACCGTGTCAGCGTTGATTAAATCTATTATGTCATAGTGATATTTCAATGTGGGGGTTTGCAAGTCTAAGGTACGTTCGTAATCGGTGCACGCCGGTGTAACGTGTACATTTGACTTTGTGAAAAACGCACCCCTTGATCCGTTTACTGTGGAAATAAAACCCACAGAATTCTACACATCTTCCACGGGTCTAAATTTCACATTGAGTTTTTGACAAGGCGGAGCCCTTCGGCGTTACCGTTTCACCAAGTCCGTAAGAAATAATCTGATAAAGCATTTTACGTGAAATTCCCGATATTCGCATCTGTTAACAAATACAGACAGATCAGAATACAAATCGCGTGCGTGTTACGGTGATTTTGATGTTACGGTACAATCTGCTGGTAGCACATGTATCGCGTGCCACGTGGCACAGGTTTTATACTTCCGGTTTGTCTTGTGTCGACGTTGAGTCTTATTGAAATGCCTGACTCTCTCCCTTTTGCTTCATTGTCATTGTCTATACTTTGTGTACGTAGTAGTCTTATTGCTGGCCTTCTGGTTCATGTTGACCATGTGCGTTAACGTTGTTAGGTTAATTCGTGAGTTAACTTTTTATTTTGCTGGCACTGCCATTACCCGACAACATACATTTCACGAAGTTTGTTACTGAAATTTGATTTTTATGGTTCAGTTATTTCTGAATATGCATCAGTTTAAATTAATTATTAATAGACCAATGGACATATTGTTTAAATGAACAAGCAATTATCAACATGACTCACTGTTACAGTGTAGTACGTTCCTGTTAGGCGTATATCAAGTCTGTTAGGTGTCAAGGCATATATTGACAGTTTTGAAATGCAACCGTTAAAAAAAAAATGTATTTGATTGATTTTCTGTCAACAATATCCTCAAAGTAGGTTATTAGAATATAAATTGATGAGAGAATAGCGATAACAACCAGGAAACTGAAGAACGCAATTTTAAATATGCACAGCACAACAACATCGCGATAACCTTCATGTAATAATGCCCTCTACTGCAACAGCATTCAAACACGTAGCTATCCCCATCCAACGACTACCGTGACTCAAACAGTTATACTATCACCCCCCACCCCCACCCC